ACAAGTGGAACAAGGCGGAGTGGATGACCTAGTTCCTCAGAAGATTGTGTGGCATCGGCCTCATGACCCACCGGTCCTTGTGGACGGGCGGGAGGGATTATTATGGCCATGCGCCTGCTGTCATTGAGCTCTGCATGCAAGTGGGTGCAGTAGTACCCCCGAAATACCATTGCATGATGAAGACACATGGCTTAGCACCACCTGTTCGATGAGACCATATGTCATAAAGTTGACTGCCTGGTTAGATACAGGAACTGTATATATCAGATGCCAAAATAATTTTGTTTGCCTCTGAAATTTCTAGGGTGCAAAAGACTGTTCTGGAAGAAGCCATCAATTAACGGTAATGGCTAGCTGAGGAGATACGCTGGCCTGTTCGGCTAGTATTAAAGCCGGCTGAAGCTGTTTTGTTGTGAGAGAAAAATACTGTAGATTCTAGCTGATAAGCCGGCTGATAAGTTCAAGCGAACAGGCTTGCTTTGTAAAATATTATTTTGAAGGCACAACTATTATTTTGAAGGCCCTCAGACAGCAGGGAAAATTTTGCTTTGTAAAATATTAGAACAGCTTACGTCATTGCCCTTCATTTGTTCAGACCCGTTTCTTTAGAATGGAGAGCTTTAGGAGTAGCCTACTATCTGCTCTTCAGTGACTCAGTTCAGCTACAGTAATAGCAATGTTGCCATTGTTTTACGTGACTCCATTTTGCCAAGAGTCCTTTGATAGTAGTGTCACCTCAATGTTATACCTAAGTTTTTTCTCCCGCACTTGGATTTTAAACCTTACGGGCAATTTTGTTATGTGCAAATCATGTAAACATATAAGAGAGATTGACAATATTCTGTATTGTATGTATACCCTGCTATCAAAAGGCACAAGCATTCTTTCTTAAAGCAGTAACTTTGTACACAGACTTTTACTTGTGTTCTTTTTTGCTGTGCTGGATACTGATGATTGACTCACATTGGGTGACATCCGTTGTCCAAAGTTGAATGGTTCTAATCTATTTTCAAAATGTATTTGTGCTCTGGACCAATCCTGGTCGAGCCCAGCATCAACAACTGCAGAGTAAAGGGAGCTCCCGAAGTGAAGCTTTTTGTAATTTGAATCGTGTCACCGGATTAAACCACTCTAAATTGGTGCTAAGATTGAACGTAAACGATTTTATAGCTGAGAGCTGAAAAGTTAAAGGTTTCGTAGTTGAGGACTGTAAAAGAACTTTCTCTCATTTTTCCTATGACAACTACTTGTCTGCAACATTATATTGCAATCACATATTGTTATATTACTTTGTTTGATCTTCTGATAGTGAGATGTGCAGAAGTATTTCCTTGTTTGTACTTGAATGGATGAGAGAAAAAAACAATAAACAACCATACTGAGCGAGGTTGCTTTTATTAGAACTATTTTGATTATTAGTTATTTAAAATTATCCTAGAAATGAAAGTGTACTATATAATTTGGCCACTACTGCAACCATGGGCACCTTTACAATCTATAGCTTAAGTTGGCAAATTTGCAGCACCCCATATGGATGATTGCTAAAAGTATTTATGCAAATGCTTAACCAGACGTGGCTTGCAGCAGCTGACCGGCTGCGCCTTGGAACATCCATGTGGACCGCGGCCCAAGACCGAATGCTAAGCTTAATTAGCTCCGTGCCTCTGTTAGCTGATTAGCTGAACCCAGACAAAACGCTTTAACGAACAAAATACCACCTCGGAATCACAGACAACTATCAGCCAGCTTATAACGCTAATCCACGGCTCTCAGAGCACGACCTTATTTGAACAGGATCTGTTCTACAGGCTTGTACTGCTGTATCCTTGACTGATAAGGAGGCAAGCACTTCAGCTTGATTGATGAGCAATGACCTGTGGGCCAGAACGTGGAGGATCGTTCCTGGCGAAGCTTTGGCTTAGGGTGGCCCATAGGTTGTCTAAGAGGCTTTTTTTCTTTTTCTTTTGCCGTGCAGCTTCTACAAAAAAAAAAAAAAAAACTCGGCCTACGGTGGGCAGACAGCCCCCGCAACTTTGTGCTTAAGGAAGAAGACCTTCTCACGCAGGCCGAGAAAACCTCCGAACATCGTGTCCCGCCCTTACACAGGGGCCCGTTACCCTGTGAGTGGGCCGATCCGTTGCCTGTGCTTGAGGAAACTCGGGACAAACGAGGAGATTTTTTTTAACTTCGGCAGACGAAACGCACCCATGGGGGTTTGAACCCTGCACGCGAGAGTACCAACCGGACGTCCCGACCATCCGGTCTGAGGAGCCGCTGGTATCTTATCTTACCTTACAAACAGTTCTCCATTTAACAAACCGTGACTCTACAAATGGGCAGACAGCCAACTACGAAATCCAGTAAATTGTGCTGTCTGTCACAAAAGAAAATGGGCAGACAGCTAGCTACAAAAACCAGTAAATTGTGCTATCTGTCACGAAAGAAAATGGAGAAGTTGACAGGATTCTACAATGATTCTGACTTGTACTGTAAGATTATTACCATCCTCAACTATTGCTTTCCTACACAACTGTTGCTTCCTCGAGATCTTTCAATACACAAAACTAGAATTCCACGAGTGGTGACAGAATTGTTGTTTACCCCCAAATCTTTCACATCGTAGTGCAATACGGCAGTTGATTTGTACTTTTGTAGGGAGATATACAAAATAAAAGAATAAAAATTAAAGTACGACAGCTCAATATTACAATGCATGACTAGAAAACAGTAAAATAAAACACTAATTAGAATATAACAATTAGTGCACTACTTATAGAAAAACAAAAATCAAAGAGCACGAACCAACCTCCTCCTAGTTAAGAGCCAATGGACAAACCACTAGCAGCCTGTTCGCTTGATCGTAAACGATCGTAAATTTCCAGCCAGAATAGTATTTTTCTCTCACACCAAACCAGCCAGCAGTAAATAATCCACGATCGTTTACGGCCTACCGAACAGGCTGCTATAGGTTATCAGCTTGAAATTATTCTAAGTATCAAATATTTATTATGGAACACATGCTATTTCAGTGCCAAGTGAGAGCTCCATGACCCACCTAGCATATCCCGTAGGTTTGCCCACTGCGAACTGTGCTCCTGCCTCCCAGTCTCCTGTGCTACAAAGATTTGCTTGTTTTAGCCGTCGTCTCAGCTTTGCGTCAAGCCGTCAACTGTATGTGTACGCCTGTACGGTTCATGTTTGCGTGGTACTCCACCCTGCTGCCGGAAATCTCTCAGTGCGCGTAAGTGCGTTCAACTCTAACCTAAAAAAAAAAGACAGAGCTACTTATAATTTAAAATAAAGAGAGTAGTTTGCAAGATCCTATTAACTTATTTTCACACATTCTTGTATATTAATATTTTTCCTTAATAATTCAAGTCTAACCAAAGATAAATTATTTGCATGCTTGTAAACAAGAAATGGACGCTTCTTTTCGACGTGATGATATTCAGGCGGTGGGGCCTATAGCCATATCCATCTTCTGGTATAGAGTTGTCACATGTATTCATACTAAATATGATCGTTATATGACACTTGTATTGTTACTGAAATTATTTTACCTCATATGTAGTCTAGGTTATCAACATAGTATCTACTACTCCCTTTATTCTAAATTATAAGATGTTTTTAGCTTTTTTAGATACATAGTTTCTACTATGCACTTTGATATATATTATGCCTAGCGTAAACAAGCCAAAACTCAAACTAGTTTCATATTTTTCTGAACTAAGATATTTTTTTCAAATAAATCAGATTTCTGGATTTTTATGTCCATAAAACTTTAAGAAACTATTTGAATTTTGTTTTATAACTATTTTGACAAACTATATTTATCTGCTGACTAAACTATCGATGTAGTCCAATTTATCTTCTTGTGGCTGACAAGGTACCACGTCAAACTAAATCACTTCACAACCATCCAAGAAGCAAACAAACAACTTGTTTCAGTAATTGCAGGAACCAAAACATCCGGTTTTGAGTTTTCTAGTTCGAAGAGGTAAATCAAATTAAGCAATAGTTACATAGACTCCATAAGACTTCTCCATGCACTGCATAGCCCAATCGGGAAATTTTCCTATTTTTGTGTTTTGTGAAAATGGATGAACTAGAACAATCAGGAAAATTTCCTATTTCCTGTAAAAATGAATTGATTCTTCTGATATTCCTGTACAATTCCTGCATTCCAAGGGCCGCTAATGTGCAGGCCTGTTAACTCACGGATTAATCTGTAGCACACTGATCCTTCGTACAGAACGCTTCGGCCCTGTTCGGTTCGCTGAAAAAAGCTGAAATACTGTTCCGACTGATTTGTTGTGAGAGAAAAACATTGTTCCGACTGAAAAACAAGCTAAAAAGTACGAATTATAAGAGAAGCGAACAAACGACAGGGGTTGATATTCAGTGCAACCTCAGTGCAGTCAGCAATCAGGGGAAGACCCAAACTTCTGATTGCTAAAAAAAGTTACAAAGGAATGCTATTGTCATCGATCATATATTGTATATCCAGTGTCTTGTTCACAAAGGACCAAGGGGAGGGATGGGGTAACAACATCGAAAACAATCAACCAGAATCATCGCACTCCAATTTCGCTAATACAAATAATTTACGCCTGCAATGAATCAATGACATTCCTCCGGTCCTCAACTACACACTAAAAGATGCTCCCATAATCCTTTCTTGGAAGAGATGAAGGTAGCTCACTTGTCGTAAATGAGTGCCCTCCTGTTCCTCCTGCAGATTTGGGTGTTACGGTTAATATCCTTGCAGGAAAAGATTCTTTACACCTTTACGCCCTGTTCGCTTGGCTTATAAGTCGTACTTTTTCAGCCAACGAACAGTATTTTTCTCTCACAACAAATCAGCCAACAGTACTTTTAGCCATGGCTTATCAGCCAAGCGAACAGGGCAAAAGTTGTGAAGGGATTGGGAGGGGTTCGCATGGAACATGAGTTCCGTTTTCTGCCAATTCCCCCTATTCCCTCTCAAACCGAACATTTCTTTAAGATAAAGGAGTGGATAGATTACCCCAGGGCACTCCATCGCCCATGCCAAAACTACTAGGCCATGCAGGCTGCCCACTGTGATGGCTTCCCATTGGCCGCATTGGACTGGAAGTTGCCTGGTTATATCGCTGATGAAGAATAGGCTGTCCATGACGGGGACGGAGATTTTGCTGAGGATAGTTTGGAGGGTTGTAACCACCGTAGTTGATGGGAACACTAGAATGGGCATTCACTCCTTGAGAGGACACATGAAATAATTGATCTGCTCTGTAACCAAAAACAGTAGAACAAATCAGCAGTCTTACAAAGAAAGGCAAATAACCAGGGAAGTTCAAAATATTCTGAGTGGTTAAGGAAAATGAGGAGTATAAATTAGTTAGGTCGCAAAACCTTTGGTTTGTTGGTACAGGGTTAGATGCAGCAAAGACATGGCCTTGGAAATTTGCTGATCTGATAGATCCACTCCCTTGGCCACCTGCATCTCCAAAGTGGAGATTGCTACTTAGATCAGCTGACAGTGAATTGTCTTCTTGCAATAGTGACTCATCACTACAAAATGGAACATGGTATAGATTAGATTAATATTACCTTTTATACAAGTTTACAAGAATCAATTTGAGTATTCCAAACCTATAATTAGGGTCCCAATTAGCAGGATCAAGTTCTGATGAAGCTGAAAAGTCAAATGATTGTGACGGAGCCTGTGAAGGCACATGACTAGACGAGGCCTCCAAGGAAATACCACTCCTTGAACCTATTTGTGGTCTCCAACCAGAATGACAAGAACTAGGTCCTGCTGCATTATGAGAGTGGCCTGTATGTCCTCGAGCATAGGCATCAGAATGACTGAAACTGACACCATCTCCAAAACGCCCTTGTCCATGCTGAGATACATAATCATGTGGCGGCATTGGCAAATTCCTCCTCATGTTGTATGGGCCCACTGCTGCAGCTTTTCCTAATGGAGAACCATGAATGCCTCCACTCGCAGGAGAACCGGAACCATGCTTCCCAGTAGAATTAGCTGGGATTTGCATCTGGTAGTTTGGTGGCGTAAACTGCGATGGACTGGCTCCAAGAGACATCGGGCCCAAGACTACCAGGACTCAATCGAATTCCTCTATCATGCGGGAAACGCATCCTTAATCTAACATCTGGACTAGAGCCAATTTGCGCTAATCCAGAAGAACCTAAGGGTGAGTAATACATATTGATAGCATTAACATCACCAGTGCTTCCGTAGCTGTTACCAAAACCAGGATTACCGGTATAGCTACCATGGCTACCATAGCTTCCATAACTACTCCCATAAGAAAAAGGAACCTTTGGAGGGTAGGCATTATTCACAGGTAGGTATCTGTTCACACTTCCAACCTACAAGTTTCAAGTATAGGGCATGATGGTTTAAGAAAGATTCCATATTGTTATTATTTCTAATAAAACTCAACTCAGAAACAGGAAATGAGAGGACGTCTATCACCTGCGGGGAAAGACCTGAATGTAGCCAGTGGCCCCCACCAGGATTGTGATCAATTGCTGCAGCACAAGCAACAGGCTAAAATACAAATGAAAGATGGGACAAGTTAGGGAGAGAAGAATGGGATCAATGTCTGAATGAACATGAGCAAAAAAAGATATTTTTAAAGGTACATCAGAGAGTGTATAGATGTGCCCATCATGCAGGCAAATATTCATGTGCACAAATTATATAGACAAAATACGACATATTCAATATATTCTTGAATAGTAACAGTGTAGGAACATGATTAATAGGAAACATCAAATCATGTGGGAATACACATAATTCATCATCACAAAATAGCTTCAAGAAGAAACATCTGTAATTCCTACTATTATCAAGTTAGATATATACATTAACCCCCAAAGAGAAGCGTATTTCTTTTCGTATACAAAATAAAATATGAAAATAAGACCATACTCACAATTCTTGCAGTCTCAGGTACAGGCTCATATGGACTGGTGAATGATTCGCCTGTTATGAATGGATGATATAGAGCCTGAAATAGGTTTCAGAAAACAATCAATTTAATTCTAGATGACACAAAAAAGTTATTCTGAATATCAACTTCTCGTGAATGTGTAGTGCATGCAAAATCGATAAAAAAATTATAATACCAATAGGTCAATAGGAGAAAACATCTAGACATGCCCTAAGCCCCTAACATGAGAATGTAGATAACAGTTAGGAAATGAAATTGTGCCAATCGCAGCAGCCATACCTGCAATGGTGACCATCGCTTATTTGGATCAAATTCAAGGAGTCCCTTCAAGAAATCAACTAATCCCAAACGATCTGTTTTTTCTGTCTCTGAATCAAAATGCAAGACCTGAGAACATAATATCAAACTTGCCAAGCTTTATTGTAAGAACTCTCACTCGTCTATTCAGGAAACCAGCTAAAAAATGTCAAATTTTCAAGTAATAAATTCAATAATGTAGTTCTAAGTTCCAACGGTAGTCTATACTGTACAAATGAACATGATGTGAACACAAAAGATGATGCTTTTAACACGAGGAACTACACAACTTAAGAAAATACCAACATCATGTTTAATAAATAACAAAACAAACATGAAAATGGCAAAGCAATAAAATTAGATTGACCTGACTAACAAAGAATAAGCATACTATACATATGAGTTTAGAAACTGAAAAGAGACATTAAACAAACCTGTCAGTTCGGAATTGTTCCAAGGATAGGTACATATGAGTTTGTCAAGCTTCAGGTGTGGGAAGTACCACTTTCCCATCTTTGGCCTTTTGGAATCTCTCTGTTATAGTGTTATTAGCACAAATAGTAAGGCAGTGCACAGTGACAGAGTATAAACCAAAGGATCCAGAGTCATTTTGGGTGAAATCACAAGAAACTTACCACTTCAACCTCTTCTTCACTTAAAATTCTGTATGCACTAGAAAGACCAGTAGGTGCCTCATTGCCAGGATATATACTTCCAGCATGTTTAAAAAACCTTATAGTGTTTTTAGCTTCCCTTAGCAGTTCATCTGGTGGTTGGCCCCTGCAAACATATGCCCAGGTGTGTTAAATTCTTAGCTGAGTAAAGGAGATAATAAAAATATAAGATTGACTACATGAGACTCAATAAAGCATTAGCATGCAGCCATTAACATGAGCATGATTGCATGCAAAATGAATAGTTTAGAGGTAAAAAAAACTTGCCTGAGAATTTTCATCATCCGCTGAAGCACATCATATTCTGATGCTCCAGGAAACAATGGCAAGCCTAGAAACAGTTCAGCAACTATGCAGCCGAACGACCACATGTCGATCGCAGTAGTATATCTGTTAAATGTTAAGGTTCAAGAAAGCCACTTGAACTTCACCTAAGAAAATGCCAGAACAGCAGAATTATTAGGCAAGTCTATGTGTGATTAGCCATGATTAGCACCTTCTATGTATACTTGATTGTATTCCTTGTATACCCAGCCATATTGGCTATATATATGAAGGTCACCCCCCCATATTGGGTGTGAGGTGTGTCTCTACATGGTATCAGCCTATTAGATCCTGTTTTTCCTGCCCCTTCCTCCCATGCTCTCTCTGCTTTCAGAAGAAGCAGCCCATTGCCTGTAGCGTCTTCCTCGTGCCCGTCCACCCTCACCGGCTGTTTCTCTCTCACCCTCATCTCCGATGGCCTCTTCATCCTCCTCGGCAGCTTGAGTGCGGCTGCACCGCCGCGACAGGCACTCCAACCATGCTCGCCATGACCACCGGGCGCTGCTTTGCCCGATTGTGGCTCACAACTACATACACAGTCAATGTCAAGTCCCACATCCCATTCACGCTGGACCTGCAATCCAACTATTCCAAGTGGGCGTTCTTCTTCAAGTCATTTGCAGGCGGCAAGTTCGGCTTTTCGCTTGCACATCGACGGCTCTACTCCTCCTCGTCCTGATGATCCTCAGTGGGATGCCGCTAAGTGCTGCGTCCGAGGCTGGATCTCCGGCTCCGTCGACGACTCCGTCCTTGACCTCGCCATGGACGGTGCCGATCCCACCGCCCGTGATCTGTGGGTGGCCATTGAAGGGATTTTCCGCGCCAACCGGGAGCCCCGCGCCATCTTCCTCCTCAACGAATTCCACTCCATGGTGCAAGGTGACAGCACCATCTCGGCGTCTTGCCGGCCGGGTGAAGATCAAGGCCGCCCGCTCTTCGCGACGTCGGGCACCTGTCCGGGACTCACTCGTCCTCGCCTCCTCCGCGGCCTCAATCTCGCTTCTCCAACACCGCCCGGCGACATCGCCAACTCCTTCGTTCTTCCCACATTCGCGAGGGCTCATGACATGTCGCGGCCTCAAGGAGCTCCGTCTCGCCAATGACGAAAAGGCGGTCGCGTAACACCGCTCTTCTCACTAACGCCACTCTGGTTGCACCGGCCGGGCGGGTGTCGTGCTCTCGCCGCCATGACCACCTCTGGAGGTCCACACAACCCACATGTGACCGGCTACGGCAGCACCAAAGTGGCGGCGGCGGTGTGGCAACAAGAAGCAGCAAAAGCAAGGCAGGGCGGTTTGGATTTGGCAATGACTCTCATAGCAGCCATATGGCGGCATTGGCCAAACTGGTCAATACCGCCCCATGGGCCCCTGGTTTTGCTACAATCCATGGGCGCCCTGTGGTCCTCTTCAAGACAAAGAGCAAGTTTGGTGGCGTCCAGCGTGCTTGGCACCCTCCTCGAGCTCATACGGCCTTGGCGCCTCCTGACCTCCCACGACATTTGCGCGCCGCTCCACGTCTCTCCATCAGCTCCCATGTGGAACCAGGACGGTCTCGTCGCTGCCCTCAATCAGATGCATCTCCAGGGACAGCATCCCTAGGTCCTGGATTCCGGCGCCTCCTCCCACATGAGCTCCTCGGATGGTATACTCCTCTCTCGTCACCCTCCTCCTCATTCTTCCATTCTGATCGGCAATGGTGCACATCTTCTGTTTCTGTGTCATGGCGCTTTGTTCTTCATACACCATCATCCAATTTTCATCTTAATAATGTCTTAGTTGTCCCATTTCTAGTTTGCAATCTCCTATCTGTGGGTCAATTTACTAGGGGCAACAAGCGCTCTATAAATTTGACGCTCTTGGTTTTTCATCAAGGATATCTCGACCCGACGCGTGATGCTATTTTGCAATAGTGTTGGTGATCTTTACACCTTCCCGCCGCATCTTCCGCTCCACACACCAACATTGCCGCCTCCCACCGACCCTGGCATCACCGTCTTGGTCATCCCGGCTCGCCACCATTGACATTCTTCGTCGTGTCGTCCATCAAGCGTAATAAATTAGAGCGGTTGCTATGTCATTCTGTCGACTTGGCAAACATATGCGCCTCCCTTTTTCAAATTCCGGTTCACATACTTCTATGCCATTTGAACTTGTTCTTTGTGATATATGGACATCCCGGTTGCAAGTGTCTCTCGGGTATCAATATTATCTAGTTTTACTTGATGATTATACTCATTTTGTTGGACTTTTCCACTCATTCGCAAATCGATGTCTCCACACATTGCAAATTTTTGCAATTATGTCCACACTCAATTCATTGCCTTGCCATCAAGGCTGTCCAAAACGACAATGGCCTTCGAGTTAAGTCAACCATACCCTCCATACTCTCTTTGCTTCTCGTGGTATTCATTTACGCCTCTCATGTCCATATACCTCCCACAAAATGGCAAAGCTGAACGTCTTCTTTGCACATTAAACAACATCAATCGCACAATGCTCCTCCATGCACACATGCCTCCTCAGTACTGGGCTGAGGTGCTCGCCACAGCCACATATCTTCTGAACAGGCGTCCATGCTCCGCTGTTAGCCACGGCATTCCATATACTCTCCTCCACAACAAACCTCCCGAGTATTCCCACCTACGTGTCTTTGGGTGTCTATGTTATCCAAACTTGTCCGCCACGGCTCGCATACAAACTCTCTCCTCGCGCTCCAAACATGTGTCTTCCTCGGCTATCCATCTTCCCACAAGGGGTACCGCTGTCTCGACATGGCCACTAAGCGCGTCATCATCTCTCGCCATGTGGTCTTCAATGAGACTTGTTTTCCCTTCGGGCTTTACCCCTCCAGGTCCTCGCACAGCGACCTGGATTTTTTGATTGCAGGAACTACAGTGCCGGTGCGTCCTGCATCTTTGCCAGCTGCTGCTGGGTGGCCACCTCCCAGTTCCATTGAGGAGCTGACCGACGACCCCGCAATCCTGTTCCACGGCCCTGTACTTCCTGCCGCTCCACCAGCAGCAGCTCCAGCAGCTCCATCACCTGCTACTTCTCCAGCGGCAGCACCTCCAGCGGCTGCTCCGTCTCCAGTGGCTGCACCTCCAGCGGCTGTCCCGTGGGACATCCGCTTCGTCTACAGCAGGCGTCCCCGGGGGCCTGACGGCTCCTCTACAGCACAAGGCTCGGTGTGTCTCTACAAGAATGGCAGCACTTTATTGAAAAATATACATTAGTAAGTAAACAGTGTTCCATAAAAAAATTGCTAACAGCTTTTACTACCTCCGATCACAAATAATTGACACATTTGACTTTGTATACATCTTCTATTCATATTCTTCATCGCTAGTATCTTCTAGAATGCGTTCTTAAAATCCTCCAAAACTATGAGATCTTGTAAAATCCTTTTCCAATACAAATCTACACATGACATGTCTCCAAACTAAAAGATTTAGAAGTTGCCGTTGATGCTTGTAACTCTTAAGGTTTGACCAAATCTTGTCCTAAATGACATATTTTTGTGACCGGAGTAGTAAGTGAAATAAAAACACTTCCAATAGCTATACAGGATACGGATAGCCAAGGAGAACCTCTGGAGACCTGTAATAGCGGCTCTAGCAAAATATAAGGGAAGAATCAATACCTTATTTCAGTTAACCAACATTACTTAGATAAGAAATAAAAAAATTGATCTACAGAGTTCAAAAAAAAGAAAACCTGGATGTATGAGTAAACCGTTTTACCCTCCAGACATGCTGATCCAAAATCAATAACTTTCACTGCTGCAGCTGTTGCGACACTGTAAATTCATCTTACGCCGTCAAGCTACAATGTTCTTTAAAGTAGTATCCCAAAAACTATAATGGAAAGTTCCAACGATCAAAAGGGTAACTCACCTGGGAGCTAACAGGATATTTTCTGGCTTCAGATCACAATGAATTATTCCAGCTTCTCTCATCACAACCATGGCATCCAATATCTAATAAAAACATAAACAAACACAATTTGGTAACATAGCAGTAGATAATTGGCATTCATATGATACACTAACAGATATGTCACCTGTTTTGAGAAGGCTTGAACATATTTCAGTTTAAGACCTCTTAAGTGGTTCCTTTTGAGCAGTTCATACCTGAAATGGGAGCTTGCAGTGTGAAAAAAAAACACGGGATGAAGCTGCTAGGCAAAAAGGTTTTAAGAAATCAGCTTACAGGTTTTGACCCAGCATCTCAAAAGCTATACACAAATGATTCTGAAATGACAGATAATCAAGCATTCGGACAATGTTATGCTGATCATCAGGATCAAATTTCTGATTTAACTGCACGTACATCCAGAATCATAATGGTTAGTCGCACCTATTGAGCAAAATGAAGTTAAGTTTCTAATGAACTATCATACCGTTCTTAATAGTGAAACCTCCATGATAGCTTGATGGTAAAATGCAGGCTGGTTTTTTATCACCTTCACAGCAACATAGTCGTTAGTTTGTGTGTCCCAGCACTTAACTACTTGACCAAAAGTTCCCTGCCCAAGCATTTCCTTGACAATAAACCTAAGTACAATAATAACAAGGTACAGTTCAATATCATGAAATAAGCAAATATGGCACAACGAACACCAAGTGAAAGAAGAACCACCTTCTGTTTGACATCTTATTAACCAACTCCAAGTTGACGTACAACATGAGGTCCCAATTTGCATTGTCAAGTCCATCATTGTGGGCTGGGGTAGAGGGACTGGTGAGGAAGCGTTTTGGATTTAGAACCTCTGAGTACTTAAACTCAGGATCACATTGTAGATATGTCTGAATGATGCCTGCTGTTAATCGTGCAACAAACTGCATTGTAAAAAGAGTCAGCGAACACCAGAGCATCAAAAGTAACAGAAGATAACATCACATGAAAGAAGCGTTTCTACATGAGAACAGAACATTACACATACACACAAGGAAGAAACCCATAACAATATGTCACAAGCAAGTGCTGTATGATAGGCTTTTAGATAATATCACATGAAAGAAGGGTTTATACAAGAGAACAGAACATCAATACACACATACACACAAGGAAGAAACACATAACAATATATCACACGCAAGTGCTGAATGATACTGGTTCGGTCTTGCTCAGATGCTCATCAAGCCTGAAAAGAGCTAGCCAGAACACTCATTAACAACACACTAGCAAGGGAATATGCTAAAACAACTAGAGGTGAGTACTACATCCTAGAACATTCTTACCATCATAATGCTTACCATATACGCTAGTCAATGTTATTAAGCGTTAAAATTCTTTCATTCTCAATTTGAAACCTCCCTGCAATTGTACGCAGTGCAACAATTTTACTTGAAACCACAATAACACATGAGTCCATCGACGAACCAGAAATCGTTCCACTCTTTTAAACCAGTTAGACCAGGAAAATGTTGAATAGAACCTATGCACAAGCAACCAATCAAGCAACAACTTGACGCGACAGTCAAATGATCAGTCTACGGGCTTCAGTTGATCACCAGTATACAAAAGAAAAGGGAATTCAGCTACACTAACATGCTACTTCCTCATAATTCCAACGAATTTGAATATGTGGAAGCAACAGAGCTACTTCCTCATACTTCCCATGAATTTGAAGATGCGGAAGCAACAGAGAAAAGGGGTTGAGAACAAGCCATACCGGTTTCCGCTTGACCCCATGAAGGCTGCTGACGCGGGCAGTAACCCCATTGGCGGAGGCCGACGGGGACGCCTCCGGCGAAGCAGCGGCGGCCGCAAAACGGCCGAACGCCGTGGCCTCGCTCGGCCTCCACGGCGGCGCCGCGTCCTCCGGCCTTCCGCTGCTGCCGCCACCCTCCTCCATGCCCAACCAGCTACACCGCAGCTCTTCGAGCCCTTACTGAAGAGAACCTTCGCTTCCACCTCCAATCGCGACGATCACAGCATCCACAGGAGCAGCCGAGCAGCGGCCGGAGGAATCCAGCTCCATCCTATGCGGTGGCGGCCATTCCAATGCTCCCTGATCCAAATCCTCTCCGGTCAATCGGAATTGGGGTAAGGACGGACGGCCAAGCCGGCGGGGGATATCAACTACAGGTTGGACTGGACTGGACGCCGGATTTGGGATCCCTTTCCAGGATTAGGGATTTGGGATTGGGTCTGGAATCTGGAGGAGGACCGTTAGAATCAAACCACAGTCGCAGTCCAATCCAATCCCCTCCTCGATTTCTTCCTTCCTCGCCTCTCTCCGCCTCTTTTCTTCCCTTCTTTCCTTGTGGGGAAGCTATACTTCCAGATTTAATTAGCTGCGAATCCAATATATTAAATAATTAGCGAGGAGATAATACGAGACTGCGCCTAAATACCTAGAAATTGACTTAGGCCGTGTTTGCCGGATTCGGCAGCACTGTTCAAACACTGTAGCATTTTGTTTTTATTTGATAATAATTGTTCAATCGTTGACTAATTAGGCTCAAAACGTTGATCTCGTAGCATTTTGTTTTTATTTGATAATAATTGTTCAATCGTTGACTAATTAGGCTCAAAACGTTGATCTCGTAAAGTACAACCAAACTATACAATTAGTTTTTAATTTCGTTAACATTTAATACTTTATGCATGTACCATAAGTTTGATGTGACGGGAAATTTTCTTTTTACATAGTGCTAAATTCAGGAAATCTGGAGAACTAAACGTGGCCTTATTTTACTCCTGCTGCTGACCGCGCCGTTTTCTCTCTCACCTGTAACCCATGTGCCGTGCCGATGTGTCCCCCTCTGCGAGTGGGCCCAAACGAATCGCGACCGGCGGGCTGGAGAGGGGAGAGATCGAGCTGGTGGACAATCCAACGGTTGGCAATATGCGAGCTGGGAAACGGCGGGATGGGCGGCCCCTCGACGCGGAGCTCACGTGACGGAGGGTGGGGTAGTGCCCAAGGGCCACGTAGAGTTGCGTGGAGCCCGCGTGCCATTGACGTGTACACCTCGAGCACCTGCGCGGCTGCGCTCTTCCCTGAAGACGTCCAGGTGAGGTGCACCGGCGGCAAACGTGTCTAGGGTCTTGTTTAGGTCCTCGTTTTACAGATTTTGGCACTATGTAAAAAGAAGATTTTCTATCATATTAAATTTGTGGGACATACATGGAGTACTAAATGTTGACGAAATCAAAAACTAATTGTATAGTTTAGTTGTACTTTACGAGACGAACGTTTTAAGTCTAATTAGTCAACGATGGAACAATTATTACCAAATAAAAATAAAACGCTACAGTGCGCTACAGTGCGCTACAGTACATCGGATTCCGGCGGCGCCGAATCCGAGGCCGAACTAAACGCGGCCTAGGAGAAGCGCTCTTGGTGGTGTCTATCTATCTGTTGCAGGCTTTCAGCGCATGCAACCTGGGACACACTAAAAACCACACGACATGTTTGTTTGGCTGTGGCTTATCGTAAACGATTGTAAATTTTCAATTGAAACAGTATTTTTCTCTCACATAAATCAACTAGTAGTATTTCTTCACAAACCAGCAACGAAACGAACCAGCCAACCGAACATGCTGATGTGCTCAAGCCGAGTAGCCGACTATACACCACGCAGTGCATGCGACTTTTGTGACAAAGCTGCTGCAGTTGTGCTATTTTTCTCCTTGCTTTTGATAGCACATGTGAACAGTGCAGATCTAGGACAAAATCTCAGGAGGGCTGAACAAGCTGTACCACCATGTTTGCTGGTTGGTGCTGGTACTGGTTTAGATTTATTGGTGCTGATTTTTTAAAAAAAAAATACTGTTAACTGGTTGAATAAGTTTGACTGAAACCAACAAGCGAACAAAGTGGTTGTGCTGGGCCCTGGCTACTACCGTGCTGCTTGCTGGTGCGGACGTTGTGCTGCGCTGCAGCTCCAGAGCCCCCAGCCCCGGTGGCAGATCCGCACTGTATGTGAATAGCAAGCACGCATTTCCTGTCAGTCTGTGTACCCTGGTCGGGCACGTCTACTTCGTGAAAATTTTTGGGTTTGGCTACTGTACTACTTTCGTTTGTATTCGGTAATTCGTGTTTAATTATGGACTAATTAGGTTTAAAAGTTTCGTCTCACGATTTTTTACCTAACTATATAATTAGTTTTTTTTCGTCTATATTTAATGCTCCATGCATACGTCTAAAAATTTGATGTGATAAAAAAAACCAAAATTTTTTTTGAACTAAACGCGCCAGAACGTGCGCATAATGGAGCCGAGGAGAGCGTTGTCTCTGAAATTATCCTCGTGCTTGTCGACTCCTCGTCGTCCCTATATATATCTACTATAGTACTGTATTTCTCCTCGTGCATGTTCCATGGCTCTCTTTCTCCGATGACTGATGGAACAATTCATCAGTTTGCCATTTCACTAGAATTTTTCACAATATTCCGCATATATAATTTGCCACGGCAAGCATCAATTTTTGGTCTAAGCTACTACTCCATATATAGTACACGTTCATTGCATGACATGTACGTGAGTTAATAAATATAGGTGTATGAGAGGTGTCATGTGTGTATGAGTGAGTTTTCTCGTCGACATAATCAAAATCAACAATTTTAAGCGTGTAGAGGTGCGAGTTCATAGGTCAATTATCTGAGTGAATGACCATTTTCGATTTTAACTTCCCTGGGGGACTATCTAACCGTCTCATCTTGAATTTATCTTCTAAATCATCACTTAGAAAGTCGTTGGAACAAAAATCACTATCTATATTTTTCTATTCTTTTATATATCTTGTATATCTTATTATGTGCACTTTGAACAACCAGCCGGCTCTCTATGGCGGGAAGCGCTTTCCAGCTAAGCTGCACAAATAAAGTAAAAGCAACGGTTAAAATAAGTTGGTCTGATCCGGTTAAAGATAAATTAGAAATAGATAACAAACAGTAGCTATAGATCTAATTGAAAAAAATTCTCGGATGATTTCTTTTCATCACTAACAAAATCTATATATACATCAATACGGAAGATATGACTCATTTTTCCTTCAACTTTGTATCGGCCTGTTCGTTGGTTGGTTTCTGGACTGGTTTGGACTGGCTGATGCTGGTTTATTGTGAGAGAAAACACCGCTGACCCATTTGTTGGTTTGTGTTTTAAAAAATAAGTCAAATAATGCGACAATTTGTATATCGATATATTGCTATCGGGTCCGATCCAGCCATGTTTGATGTTTGGGCACCAGCCGGACCCAACTGGTCCTGGGCCCCGGGCCTCCTGTTCGGCCGAGCCCGATCCCTCACCTCTCCTTCTCCATCGCAAACCTCTCGCCGCCACTGCCGTCTCACAGCAGCACCGGCACGCGCGGCGGCGCGGTACGCCGCCGATGCCGCGGTAGAGCACAGACGCCGGCACAAGCTTCGCTTTTCCCGTACAGGCGCGTGGCGAAAAAGCCTCGGCATGCCTCTTGTCTAAAAGTGCCCGCATGCGGCATCCCCTCCTCGACCCACCTCGCGGTGAAGCATCTCCTCCTAGCACGGCAGCACCCCAGAGCCCTAGCACAACCCTCGGGCTCCAGATCCCTGCTCTGGCCATGTCCGGCCGGAGACAGGCGTGGCAGTTTGCGGCCGCGCTGGTCTTCTTCCACGGCTTCGAGTACGTCCTCGCTGCCGCTTTCCACGGCCGCCAGAACGTCACCGCTACTTGTGAGTGCGCCATGACTCCATGTCTCTTCTGATTTGAGTGAGGCTTGGACTGTGTTCGTGAAATTCGGTGGATTTGAAACTGGTGTCGTGCAAATCCGTGCAAATCCTAAACCTGGAGTAAATTCTAGCGCTCTACTGAGAAGTTGAAGCAAATCGCTGCGTGAGTTGAATTGTGCTCGTGAGGTTTACTAGATTTGAAAGCTATTCCTAGATTGCACCTCAGTCTTGTTACTAGATTCTAGCAGTCTCACTGAGTAGTTGAAGCAAATTGCTGCTGAGTAAAGATGGGACTATGTCTTGGCAATTTCTTGCTTGGGTTTGAACTGTCATTTGACCTAGCCAGAGTATTTGTAGTAGACTTTGTAGTCTATATTTTGTAAACTGCTTTTGCTGTCTGATCTATGTCAACTTTAGCAGCTAGCACCTATCTATTCCATTTAACAGAAACAAGCTGCCAAGTGTTGATCCTAATGAATTTAGAAATTAAGGAACATATCGTAATGGAATTTTTTAGTTAAAAGCTCCAAAATTGGAAAGTATGATCAAAATTCACCAATGGAGCAGGTTTTGACAATTGACAAATGAAACTTATAACTAATTAATTGGTTCATAAGTCATTAGTTTTTTTTTCCACACTGGGCGAACCGAATTTCATTACGGATAGTAAAGAATTTACACAGGTTTCAAGTCATCTGCCCAGTTTCCGAGACATTACTTTCCCTCCAGCCCAAGCACAAAGGGCTCAGCCAGAGAAGCAACCAAAAAAAGAGATGGCGGCTACATACATCCAGCAAACAACAGGTTTCAGACCGACATAAGAAGCTAACACTGAAAACTGACCCAACTTAATACAAGCCAGATGAGGCTGCCACGGCATGCAGGCCAGCGATGACTGACTTCCAAGCAGCAAAGAACTGAAGCCTTCAAGTCTTGATGATCGCCTGAGAGTCACCCCCCTTCTGTTGGACTTGCTGGTGGAATTGCAAAGCCACTTACTTCAGAATCGCCGCCCCATGTTCCATCTGAGTTGCAACCTCTTGTTTCTGAAGCCCTGCCCAATATACCAGCATAGAACAAATCAAACATAAAATCTCTGTAGGAGCCTTTACTCTCTTCCCCTCAAAGCAAATAGAGTATGAATTGATTAGTTACTTTTAAGTGGGCTTGTGCAACTGTAGCTTGCATTTGGCTAGCTGATGTAGTATGCGATCAAACCAGGGTTCTTTCCAAAACAGGCACTAGGTTACACCAACGTTCACGGTATTCTCATTTCAGAACACCAATGCATACATAAATATTTTCTGAAACATAGCCTAGTGTGATGCTGGTTTTGTTTTAAACTGTTAAATCTTTAAATTCGCTCTGATGGCAATGGCGAATATATCAAGAGTTCTCAAAGTTGTGGTGGTCTTTTGTGGACAAGATGTCCAATCCACCAAAACTGTAGGATGGTCGATATTCAGTATTCAAATAACACAGCCAAAAGCCCAAAACTTTTTTTTTAGCAACTGGACACTGATCAAACAGCACCTGAAGAAGCATTTGGCATGCGTATGTTGATACTATTGATTATTAGCTTTTTTTCCTTAATTTCTTACAGTTTAGATTATACTTTGCATTATCCTATCTTTATTTTTGGCGGTGTTGTTAGTAATGAAGTTGCTTCTCTTGCAGCACTTCTTATTAGCAAGCAGTATGTATTGGCAATGGGTTTTGCAATGCTGGAACACCTGACAGAAATTCTTATTTTCCCGGAAGTAAAGGAGTACTGGTTTGTCAGTAATACTGGCCTTCTAATGGTTATTGTCGGTGAAATTATCCGTAAACTTGCTGTAGTGACAGCTGGACGTGCCTTCACGCACGTTATAAGAACTTATTATGAAGATCAGCATCAGTTGATCACCCATGGACTGTATAGGTAAATGATTCTTTATTTTTTGCAATAGTTCCAAAGTTATTGAGTTACTACTTTACATTTGCACTACAACAATTCAGAAGTTTAATTTGTTCTATTCTGCTTAACTATACAGGTTTATGCGCCATCCTGGGTATTCTGGCTTTCTTTATATGGGCAGTAGGAACCCAGGTTATGCTGTGTAATCCATTATCAACAGTTGCATTCACATTGGTCTTGTGGCGATTCTTTTCAAAACGGATACCGTATCCTGCCTGAAAAATATTTTATAGACTCTTCATCTCAATTATTGAACTGTCAGAAGCATACCACTTTATGTGTTTTCATCACCCATTGAATATGAACATCTTCGTGAAAAGAGTAAAACTAGTTTTTCTTGTGATTCCTTCACCCAGAGCAGGTATGAAGAATTTTTCTTGAGGCAGTTCTTTGGCTCAGAATACGATGAATACGCACAGAGAGTACACTCTGGATTACCATTTATTAAATGAAAGTATCGCACTTGCAAAGTATGCCCTTGAATCCTTGACTTTTAAGTTCCCATTTGATACCATGTACTTCAAACTTTAAGATTTAACTAGCTGCTCTATCATGTTTTCTTTAATTTTCAAACCCAGCGGTAGTGCTATAATAAAACCGGTGGATACATGCTTTCTCCTAAAAGAAAGAGAATTTGAACAATAATAATCTGATAATTTTGTTTCTTTTCTCATAGGAACATGTGTAGTTTAAATATTTTATCCCTGGCCCAGAATTATAGCTATTTTGTGCACAATAACTTCTCAACTATTTTTCACATTTAAAGTGCTTTCTTTACACTATATTGGAAAGTATGTATGGTTCATAATTTAACATGTCCTTGTGGCTTGACATCTCACATTTTACTTGCACATGAATTGTGAGCAAATGTGGCTCACATAATTTTGCTACATTATTTCTACTTTGTGAAAGAAAAAAAAATTAGGATCCACCAGTAAGATTTCCAATAAACTATAGCTTGAACAATGTGGTTCAATAAACGTATCTTGCAGTCTGTGTACTGTGGTTACTAAACAGAACATTCTTGTTCTTTCTTTTTGATACAGCACACATCTGGAGATAGGATATTCATACTGTGTTTGATTTTGTTGTAGGTATGTCAAGTAAAGCACCAAACAATATGAAATCAAGAGATAACAAAGAAAGGAGCCATTTGATGGATTGCATACGATACAAGACAAGTTAGAAATTTTATAGTCTCTAGTCAAGCAGATGAATTATTCATCATCTCATCGATCTGTGCAAATTTGGGCAACTTTACATTGGCCATTACTCATTAGATGTAAAGTTCAGGCTTTTTTTTTCACCCCCATAGTGATGTTCACCAACAGCTGAACTTGTGGCAGCACGCCATTCAGAGCCGAATGGTTTCAAGGTTATGTTTACTAGCCTGAGGTTCCTTGTGACGAAGCATTTGTTGACACATGTACACAGCTTTGTCTGGTGCCAAGCATATACTTGGAATCAGCGTGTTTGCGTCTGGACGGGCATGTCGGAATTTTATAGTCTGGATGGGAATGTGATCAATATGGAAGGCGACATATATTCTGCTGAAGTGCTAAGATAAACGCGTCGGTCTCCCGGAAGGATCCTCAGCCTGTTCGGCTGGCTGGCTGGCTGGCTGGTGCTGGCCAGCCTCTCACGCGGGTACTGTTCATATGAACAGTGTCTTTCAGCGAGAACAGTATTTTTCTCTCACATCAAATCAGCCAGCAGTAATAATCCATGATCCAACCAGCCGTGCCGAACAGTCTCGGGAAGTCAGCACCAGGAGACTGGCGAGGCTTTGGTTTGGTTGAAAAGCACTGGTGCATCCATTTTATTCTTATCAGTCTGCTCGACGCCAAAGTTTACAACCACAATGTTTGTGCTGAACACTCGGTTTGGACGTACTGATCCAAGTTTGTGTCGAAATAACTAACATTCCAACGTGTTTTGTTCTGATTTTGCATAGTTCCATTCCATAGGAATCCCAACTTTTTGATAATATAAGAAGATAAGATGATACTAATTCATAGAACTTGTGTACACCCCTTGATTTAGAGTCAAACAGTTTAAATTAATTAAATATATATAATTATAAATATTCATTCTGTGAATAAATATTGTTATATTATTACTTATAGTATAGTTTTTTATACTAAAATCTATTTATAAAGTATAAAAGTTGATACTACCTTTTATAAACCTAATGAAATTTTAGATTATTTGACAGTTTAGGAAGCGAAGGGAGTAGATTTTTGTTGATTGGAGGGATTCGAGGGGCATGTCATAGGGAGGGTTCCATTCTTTTACGGGAGAGACTTTTCTTCACTCTTGAGCTCGCTTATAAATAGCTGCCACACACCTCTCCACTCCAGTCTCCAGCAGTCCAGCCTCGCAGTCTCGCCTCTACGATCACTTCAGCCCGTGGGAACATGGCCACCGCGTCGTCCTCGACTCCGCCAACGCCGCACCTGCCGTCCTTGGAGCGCACGAAGGGCCCTACCGGACTCGAGAAGCTTGTCCTTCGCGAGTCACGCGGTTGGTCCGCGGAGGTAACGAACTCGATCGCCTCCCACCCCCTACTTTTCCGGGACGATTTGGGGTGCATTCCATTCCGTTGGGGAGGAGCGGAGGGTGCGAAGCGTGTGGATTTCTTTTATGATGGGGTTGAGCGTTCGGGGTTCGCCGACCAAATTCACCTGTCCGGTTAACTGAAGACGTGCCGGCGTTTGACGTTTAACATTTTAACCTTTGCCGTCCTTGCGTGAAGAAGCGACGGTGCTTTGTTTTCTGGTTGGCAATTTTTTGTTTTTCTCACTTTTAAATTCGAGAAGGATGAATTAGTGGTGCTGTCCATCTAATTGAAGTTCGACCATTACGGAGTCTTCCCATAGTTAATTTTTGCGATCTATTCCTCCACAGAGATAAAAAAAAATGTACAAATAGTTTTGGTCTTGCGTCGCTATTACATTTACACCTCAATACGTGGACTGTGAAAAAGATGGTGAAAGACTTCAAATATTATGCGGACAATGCCCTGCTTGTTGGGTCTAGTGGCAGAAGACCCACCGACTATGCCACTTGAAAGGGAAAGGGGCCTAGGTTATAGCCTTTCGTTGTCAAGATGGATGACCATCAGGTTGTTTTGGAATTTGGTCTGATGCACATCTGATGACCTGTAGGATAGGTGCTAGCCTCCTTGAGTACTGAGGATAGGATAGGTACCTTTTTTCTGATATAATATGGAGGAACCATGGTGAATCTGTGTTTTTAGTTCTAGCATGTTTGGCTGAGGAGGCCCTAGACCATAAAACTATATATCTAACTAATATGGATATTATTATTTGATATGTTTGTATTAACGAAGTTGCGCAACTGCATACTCCTACTCCCTCCGTTTCAAATTATAAGTCGCTTTGACTATGTTGTTACATTCATTTTGCTATGCATACAACAACAACAACAAAGCCTTTAAGTCACAAACAAGTTGGGGTAGACTAGACTTGAAACCCAACAGAAGCAGTCAAGGTTCAGGCACGTGAATAGCTGTCTTCCAAGCACTCCTATCTAAGGCTAATTCTTTGGGTATATTCCATCATTTCAAGTCTCCTTTTATTGCCTCTATCTAAGTCAACTTTGGTCTTCCTCTGCCTCTCTTCACGTTACTATCCTGGCTTAGGATTCCACTACGCACCGGTGCCTCTGGAGGTCTCCGTTGGACATGTCCAAACCATCTCAACCGGTGTTGAACAAGCTTTTGCTATACATCTAGATAAATAATATGTCTAGATACATAGCAAAATGGATAAACCAAAAAAGTCAAAGCGACTTATAATTTAGAACGGAGGAAGTACATAACAAAAAGTCAAAGTTATTGTGGTCTGTGGTAGTTGCAGAGAAGCTAATGTTAGTAGTGGGTGCTTGAGTTGTACCATACAAATGATAACTAGGTAAACTTTTAGTGTTATCCAGTTGTCTGGATCAATCCTTCTTGACTTGACACACTAGTTAGTTAACTCTGTTAGACCTAACAGGCTCTAAAACTTCTGTCAGTGGGTGTCGAATGTCATTCTTGCATGCAAATAGGACTATAAGATGTCCTATTTTAAAATTTGCTGTGTTCTTCATTTTTTTCTTTATCTTTATTTTTTATCCAAGTTGGAAGCGTACCAATTTGGCGAAAGGCAAATCTCTCACGCATGTAGGGCCTGGTACCTGCATGAAAATTGTAATCATGTGTCCTTGTGTTAGATCAGGTTTTAGCTCCTGTAGTTGATCAATTATCTTGTCTTTTGCAAGGTCCATCTATATGGAGGTCAAGTAACCTCTTGGAAGAATGACCATGGAGAGGAGTTGCTTTTTGTGAGCAGCAAGGTATATAGAAACATTCAAGATGTCATGGATGACGGCATTGGTTAACTTCTTAATCCATTTGTGCATTAGAAGCATGGGCGATACATCTCTGTCATCCTTGTCCATGCCAAAACAAATTTATTCGTTAACTAGATTCGATCTGAACATATGTCTAATATGCTTTGTCAATACTTCATATTCTTAGTTCCAGAGTCCTTTTGAAATATCACTAAAATGTTGTTTCATTTTCTCATGACCTTAGCCCTTTTTTTCTTGTTTTTTTTTCTACAAATGCAATTTTAATTACTCAACTAAGTATCCACTCATGGCTTCTCATTTATTATGTGCATGTTGCCGCATCAATTATGACACCTTTTAAACATGGTTTTGACTTGAAGTCCTTTTTCAGGCCATTTTCAAGCCTCCAAAAGCAATCCGTGGTGGAATACCCATTTGTTTTCCCCAAGTATGGCAACTTCATTTTTATTTCATAATTTATAAGCTCAAAAAATGCCTGCTCCAATCATCCGAAAGAACCATATATATGCAGTATGGAACACATGGAAATCTTGAGAAACATGGATTTGCAAGGAACCGTTTCTGGGCTATTGATGACAATCCTCCGCCTTTCCCAGTAAACACTGCTATAAAAGCTTTTGCTGATCTCATTCTGAAGCCTTCCGAAGAAGATACCAAGATTTGGCCTCACAGGTTCGTGTTAGAGACCATGCTGTTATCATGTCGATGCTTGACTCTGCTCCTCATCTATCTTTAAATAAAATTACAACTTGCAGCTTTGAATTTCGAT